GGGTCGAGTGAAGTGAACCACAGATGACGCCAACCAAAATGATTCCATAGTCCATATTATACCAACACTTGGATATGTATCATAGAAAGTTGGCTGCAGATGTCAGTATGTATATGTGACGAGTTGCATCTCGCTTCTGCATGAATTGCTTTTATATCCTTAAGATCAATGAGTTTTGATAGAACATAACTTTTTTTCTCAAATGTCTCATAAATTAAGTATGTAAAATGGTAAATTTCACCTCACTAACGTTCGTACACTCATTTATTTGTAAATACCACTAAAGATGCCATTCATATAAGCGTTCAAAAGATATTATTTTTATTTGATCTGTAAATATTCCATAAATTCGATAGAATGTTTTTAAATCTGACATTTTATTGTAAAAGTATGAAACCTATACAGAACATTACAAGTGTTCGTAGCCAAAGAAAAAAAAATAATGTAAAAAAAGTCACAAAATAAACAATTAAAACTTCTGAATATAAGCAAAAACTTGAAGATGTTTTGTGTGTAATTGCCTCCTGTTGTACTATGTTTTACGATCACATCGGTTTTACCTAAGCAATGAAGAAAATTAGTAAATCATGTGACTATCAAATATATGATAAATGTTTGGTACATACTGAGAAAAATTTGTTACCACTTTGAATAATAATTTGTGGAACACCTTGTATTTCAGAATACGAGACAATACGCATGTTTGATTGTGTGACTTGAGGTTGAGCCTAAAAGTATGTAAAATATACACAAAAGTGTAAAAGTGCGTTTCCTAAAAACAAATCAAGATATTAAAGTTCTAATAAAACACAAGATTAAAAGTAATTTTTACTACAATAAACAATAATCTTCAAGAAATTATATCAGAATAGATCTGACAATCTGTCTATGCTCAAATAATAACCATGACTAGAATTAGAAGTACCTGATGATGAAAAACTAGGATAGCACCACTAGTATCGAATAAATCAGTCAATTTCGAGTATGATATAGGAGTTTGTTCCAAATATGTGTTTCCGACATATTGGATGAATTTATTTGATTCTTGTTTGATAATGGCGATTGTATTATCATAACGACTAATTATCAAAATAGCACGTGGTGAATAAGAATGTTCAGCATTATTAACATCGATCAATTTCAAGTTTCCATTAAAGGCATCTTTCGGTCGAACACTTCGATCGATGAAGGTCTAGAACAGAATAAATAAAAAGCAAATTTTCACTTGACAGATTTTTCCAAAGGGAAAAAACTGATTTAAATCATCGACCAAATCAAGATTAAATCATCCTTAATCATGTCAAGTCAATTTTTCAATTGATTCAAAATCAGGGTAGAATCGTTTAAAATCACAAAATCGCAGAATCTTGTTTCCACCTTGGATTTTTCTAAACGTTACAGAATGATGCAATTAATCGTGTTTTGTTACAATATTTGATGAATGTTTAGTAAAAAATAGTAATAAAACAGCATTAAAGAAACGATTAAAAATATATTTGAGAAGCCTATGGAGCTTTTATGATGAAATGAAAAGGTTCTTTCTGACTTTAGTATAGGAAAAACGCTGATTTTTTATTTAATACCAAAACCTTTTAATCAATTAAATCTATTATGTGATTACGAAAATAGAAATCAACTTAAAAGTCTTACTATTAAATACGTCGGACATTGAAAAAAAATTTGATTGTGTATTTGCAATTCAATATTGTTTGTTGAGCAATTACAATGCCTGCAACACCTTTTATCTTCATTGTTCGCAACAACAGGGATGACCGGGTATGCAACAAGTTTGTTGTTTGAACTTAATTTGAAAATGAATATTTGTTTTGCTGATGAAACCAGAGAATCGGATGTACGATGACAAGAATAACAAAAAAAATAGGTCTTAATATGAGCAATAAGGACATGATTTAATTCAATAAGTGCATGATCTATTTGGATAAACGAACACGCTTCTTGTAAAGTAACAAATGATGGAATATTATCGAGCGAGATTTGACTTTCACTTAATGAACATTGAATAATTGCATGGATAATGTTTAATTTATTATTATCATTAACACGTTCGAAGATAAGATTACCTGAAAAAATAAAACTATTCATCGATCATTAAATTATAAAACGAAGTAGCAGACAAATAAATTTTTTTCGACATAAAACTTTTGCGTGTAGATTTCTGAAATAAATAGTATCTTTACAATTCAATGCGAAAATGAATTCCTATAATTTTTTTCGTACCAGACTTTTTGTATATTATACATACTGGCATGTAAAAATATTTTCTACTTACGACTATTTGCATACAGACGTCTGAATTGTTCACCTTCGCCAATTAACTTTTTATTAATACTTGTAGACCAACTTCTTTTAATCCTTGTTACTCGTATCATTGTATTATTTATACCTGCTCGTATAATTGTATTAAAACAAATAAGATTGTAAACAGCTGCTGATGGACCACCAATTGCTGACCAACTTGAGAACTGAGCAAGCGAAAAGATACCGGGTGGCTTGCGGAATTTAACAGTTGTATGAGAATCATTAACATTGATAAGTAATATTGGTGGCCATTCAACAACTTCAATATGTCGAGTCGTTGGAGTTTTACATGAAAAACAAAGTAGATCTGATAACATTGGTGAAAAAAAACTATAAAGCTGTTGTTCAAGATTTAAACCAGTTTTAAGTACATGGACTGGAATCGATGAGATTGTAGTTCTTCTTTTTGTTACAAATTCACATTGTTTACATGCATGAACTTTGTCCACGATAAGAGTACATGGTAATAATGGTATTAAGATATGTTCGAGAATAAATGTAGAACAATCATCAAGATCATTTGATTCATTTATTGCTAATGAGTATTGGATCGTCTTTTGTTGAGAAATACCCGTTGCTGAATTTGACCAGTCTTCAATAAATTTTAAAATGGCATTAATTAATGGTGTGGTGTTTGATGAAGATGAAACTAAAGTACGATGACGAAAAGAAGAATTATTTCCTGTTGAAAGAACTAATCCAATAGCAACATTTAACCATTCTGGCGATAACGACGGCAACTTCAGGTTGATATTAACATTATTTCTGGATGATAATAAAGACGAAACAAGATCAGAAAAAACTGGTTCATCTGGACCTTTACTGTAATATCCATGATCCCTTTTACTGGATGATTGTCGCCATCGTTCTTCGATTGGTTTCAATCGGCGCTCATCTAATATCATGGAATTATCATTACGGGAGCTATTCCGTGTTGTTGTACAATAATTAAGTAAAGCACTTGAAAATTCTTCTATTATTGTCAACATATCAGGTATTATAATTGATAATAAAACATCAACTCGAACATGAATATGACCACCTACAATATATGAAACATTTGATGAAATTTTATCGTCTACAATCAGAATGTAATGCCATAGTTATAGTAAATTTAGATAAGCTATAAATTCGCTCAAAAATAATGGTCTGAAAAATTATTTATATTTTCTGTTCATATAGACAATTATATTAATAATGGACTTATTGTTATTTGTATTTTGTTTTTCATGTATTTCTCACTAGTAGCATATTTCTGAGAAAAATATATCTTAATATCAATATTAACTGAATCAAAAAGCTAGAAAACTTAAATTTTTTTCTACAATTATGATTGGATTGACATTCTTCTGAAAAGTTTTCTTGGATAGAAAAATAATTTTTTGTCATGAATGGTAATAAAATGGGTACATTACCTAATTGTGTACGTTTTAAAATTCCCATGCGTCTCTCACTTATGGCTGTTGTTTTTTGCTGAGGATTCATAATAAGTATTCGTTCATAAGATTGTACGATGCGTCGACGATGACGACCAAGATCACCTACATGAAATAATATTATTGACAAAATATGTTTCAGTTACAGCATAAATATATTTACCTATCAATAGATTGGACCAGATAGGCAGTGTAGGCATGAAAAAATTTATTAAATACTTGAACCATCTTAAAATACCTTGAGAAGCAGTACCAAGTACATCTTCCAATGAGACACCAATAATATGAATTGCATCACGAAAAATGTTATTGATATCAATTTTGAATGGTGAATCAGTGGCATTTGCTTCTTTTTCTTCGTCGACGACTAGCTATATAATTTATAAGGAGAAAGTAGCAAATCATTTCAAAATGTTTTTTAAAATTGCTTCTCGTAACAAATCATTTCTTGTACAAAAGTTACTTAGTCATTATTTTGACTCTTTTACCTTTTTCGATACTCTTGAAAAACTTTTATCTAATTGATCAAAATTATTTTCTTCTTCTTCTTCGAGATCATTGAAAGTGTATGGATCAAAATTAGGTCCTCTTTCTAAATGTTGAACTGCTGCAGATTCACTTGTTGTAATAGCTTGAGCAGTATTTGTATCTAATTTAATTTTTTTTATTTTATCAAGTAATGCATCTTTATGTTCAATGTTAGCATGACTTTCACCAAAATGTAATTGAATAAATACAAGACAAATCAATTTCCAATTCTGTTTGAATTCATACCAAGTTGAAGTATTAATTAGCAATGCAATACTCCACATGGCTAACTCACGAAATTCTTCAACAATATATTTATTGATGGTTTTTCGAGTATCCTAAAAAGACAATTCAATGATGGCCAGAAACATAACAAATAAATGTATTTACCAATAAAACATGCGCAAGACAAGCATGAATGTTAGTCATTTTTAAATCATCGTCATTTGTGTTATCATTTACGATTCTATATGCTCGATTAAGAAAATCTTTCAGAGACTCGTTGTTCCATACATGAAGAGCAGCTAATAAGAAGATTTGTGCCCTGTCACTCAAAATTAACTGTGGTCGTGGAAATGGTTTATTAACGAAAAGCTATGTATAAAAAGATTAATGTATATAAATTAGAATTAGTGTAATTATTACAACGTACTTGAGAGTAACTGTACTTAAAAAGCTGGAGCCAATGTATAATATTTACCAAAGAATGAGCATCGCTGATCATAAACGTGACAGGTACAATGCTATCTTCGGAAACGATACCTGGTAGTGTAATACTGAGCTCGTAATATAATAAACGAGGCGAACTCTTTTTTTCTTTTATTACACTACCAGTAGCGTCCCATGATAAAACTATATTTTTATGTTTTAATAAAGTATCAAAAAGACGAATTGATGATTCAGTGTAAACTATTATCTGGTAAGGATATTTGCAAATTTGCTGAATAGCACCAACAACTCTTCCTTGTGGATTAACTTCTTGTTGAAATTTTTTGTTCAAACGAAATAATGATTCATCAGCGTCTAATGATAATAATGATTCTTTTGTATATTCTGATTTTATCTTCTTCAATATGTTCCGACTTTTACCAGTTGCATCATAATTATAACCTTCTTTCTCCTCGCGTGTTCGAATTCTTAATCGTTCATGATGTACACGATAAACACTAGCACCGTAAGCAAACTGCTGCTTTATCAAAGAACGAATTGGTTCTCTAAAGGGACGGGCAATTTTTTCACCCCGAATGTGTTTAATTTCTCCGTTAGTCACTATAATATAGCCGATACCATTATTCAAAATTAGCAAAGAACACGAAAATGAACATGTTTTACGACCAATACAATAAAGAATACAGCGTAGTAGTTTATTATTATGCGTACTTTGTGCACCGAAACTACAATTTCTTATGCATAAAGCACAATATTTGTTAAATTTCTTTATATGTGGAAGAAGAATATAAAAGTATTCGACATCAGTCCTTGATTGTTTCTTTTCCAACTGAGATGAACCAATTGTGTTACCTAGAATGTGTGAGAGAAAATTATGGTAAGCGTCTTCAAACTAAAGAACGATTATGAAGAACATTCTCGCTATTCAAATGGAAATCACTTGAGTTGAAATTTCTATTCAAGAGCTTTTTATCTTTCATACTATATTCATTAAATCTCTTTCAAGTAGAGCATAATCTTTTGCAAAATATAAAATGAAAGAATGTAATAATAAGGTGTTTAAGACGTATTTAAATCAAGATTTTATGAATTGCCTCACCTCATTAACTTCAATAAGGCGTTCTAAAGCTGTTCATTGAAACTCATTAGACTTAGAAGGTTTTTCATTGCTTTTATTTTCTGATCACGCTACTGATTATCATGAAAAAAAAACAGTCGATGAACAATCAGTACTCATATAATCAACATAAAATACTAAATGTTACATTTACTAAAATATTTTTATTACCTGGTAAAGCATCAATATTTTCGCTGCTTATACCACTTATTTCATTAGTTTGCTTCGACAACAATATCTTTTTTTTTTGTTTATCATTACTATTGATAGGTAAACCCATTGCTTCAAACATTCGATCTGTTTTCTTCTTAATTTTTCTTGTTCTTATCAATTTCAGTTTCTCCAATTCAACTGACTGTAATTTGAATTGATACGATGATGGTAGTTTTGCTTGAAAATAATCCTTATCTTGAGAATCTTCACCATTCATATCTGCTGGAGAATCTAAAATTACATATTTCGAAATAAAAAATTGTACATAAAAATTGGAAACTAAGCAATAACTATGTTTAATATTCAAAAAATCCTGTCGTTCCTTTATTTTAAAAACGGAGCAGTTTGCGATCTATTCAATGAATAAGAACAAGTCACTTAATATAAATCTAATGAGCTGTGAGACGAAAATCAATTAAAATAAACAATCACTAACCACTTGTCATCTTGAAATTTGAAATTGATTCAGACTGTTGCGATCTTATACATAACTGAGTAATATCATCACTAAATCTAACACGATTCTTTGTTGATGATAAAGTATATTTTGATCGAGACACTGAAGAAGAATTTGATGTATTGTATAAATTCAAGTTACCTATAACACAAAATTTCCTCGTGATTTAAATGCTTAAATGCTGAATTTCTTACTTGGACGTTCCTGATGATGATTCGTACTGGATATGAATTCAATTCGACTTTCAGTGTCCAGTTCAACTGATTCTAGTATATTTTTCGAAGATAATTCTACTTTTGAAGAAGGTAGATTATCTTGAAAAGCTTCACCTTGATGGACAATACCTGAAATGAAGGAAAATAAATATTAAACACATATTTTGAAGCAAATTTACTATTTTCTGCATTCGATGAATTTATATTTAGAATAGGACTTTCTGCTATTGATGATACATGTTTCGACGAGTCATCTTCAAAACTAGAAGCATTCAATGAGAATTCTGTAGGACACTAAAAACAAAAGGATGAATTTAGTTAAAACTGAAGTTCTCCTTACTCTTGAATTATGCTCAATAAGTTTATATGATTTCTCTTGGATATGCTTCGGCGTAGATGATAATAATAAACGTGGTACTACTTCAAATGATGCAAATGTTTCTGTTTCATTTGAGATTATCTTTTGTCTAGATACTTTACTGTAACATAAAATATAAGAGTTATTGTCAGTAAGAACATCACTTAAGTCGACTCTGGTAATTGATTCATCATCAGCTTTGTACCATAGATTGTCAGGTGATCGAATATACGAAAAAATGTGACCATTATTTGCATTTTCGCCTACGTGTACTACGACAGAATTTAATTGATAAAGAAACTCATTTAATGAATAATTTTCTTGATTTGACTGTATTACTGTTGGACAGATCAATGATGAAAGATCTAATAATTCTGGATATGCAATAAAATGGTCCATTTTATGAATTGTTTTAATAGTTTTATCAAAAAAAAATCTTTTGAGATGAATGAAAATAACTGGTGATGGATCAGTAAGTTTTGTTGATTTCAATGCTACTGCCTTTGTTTCACATTTCGAACAAAAAAACATATCATCGCCAGCTAATTCTTCAGTTGAACAGAATGAATCAAGAGCTTGTTTGAGATTAAAACAGGAACTTATTGCAACAGACCAAACACATTCATGATTATTCTGTTGGGTTTTATTGAAACAAATACTACATGTAATTGATGTTTCCAGATTTATGCCAAAAATTATATCGATTGGATTAGATAAAAATGTCGAGCAGGATAATAATTTCATCGGCGAAAAACATTGAATCATATGGTTCAGCAGAACAATTAAAAATTCTGAAGGATCTTCTTGTCGACCAACAACGAAACTTGACGATAATTTATTAATTTGTCGACCCATGGAAACAGCTGAAGCTTGGCATAACTGAGAAAAAAAACTACACGTACGGTGATTTAGCTGATGAATACTTTTGATGATTGAACGCATAAGACAACATGAACAAAATTCATCATTTTCCGTCAATGTGCCTATAAAATGAACAAAATTTAACTAGTTTTTTCCTTTAAAAAAGATGAAACGCTTTATCTGTTTTCTTCTACATTAATGTAACATATACTCTTGAAACGTTAGTGTTTCAAAAGAATACACTAATTGATTTACATGCTCAAATGCTATCACACAAATATTTGTGCTAAATATAGCCTTCTTGAAGATCGCCGACATGCACTATATTACAATTGTCCTTTTTTGATTACAATTACAATGCCGAAAAAGAAAAATTAAGCCTTGTCTCATATACTGTGTTTCCTGGGATGGATATTCTTAACTAAAGTATTCGTTTATTTTCTACCGTTTTACTTAGCATTGCTGTTATGAACGAATTGTTTTTCATGAAAAAACTATTTATAGAAAAATTTTTATTTGTTCAGATCAAAACATAAATCTGTGCAAATTCTTACATATGTCACTCTGGTAATTATTCTCTACGAGGTACAAAAAAAACATGCACGTATATTTTTATAAGGTGATAAAAACACCGAGAAATAATTTTACAGACATACGCATAATGAAACAGGATGCACGGATAAAAGTCAGCTCATTTTTTCCATGATCGATATGAAAATAGAAGAAACTCAACAGCATTGACATAAATTAATTGCTTTACAATAAAACTAATGTAACATACAAACGCTTGTTATAACATGAATGTATACCAATTAGTGTACTTATTTGAATATGTCGATCGCTTCGATAACACGTATTACTTTCTCAACATGAATAAGACAATGACGAAAAATACTTTATGTGATGGAAGAATAATGAGAAACATTCTACTTTAAAATTACAAAACGTACATATCTCGAGTACTAGACAAGTTAATCAAATCTTCTTATTGTATTGAATGGATTACTTACATGTTCCATGAATATCGTCATTCAATAGCCATTGAACAAACGGAGCAGTATTAGCTAAACATTGGATGATGGAATTAATATAGCAAATGTTTAAGCATCTTTTTTCTATATTTGTATTAATAAGTCCAAGGCCATGAACATTTGTTAATAACCATTCTAATTTCAATTGAGATGGTTCTAATTGACATACATTATGGCACAGTTTCTTAAAACGTTTCGATGATGTTATTTGAGATTCTTGTAATATAACATTGAAGCGACCTAAATAGAGATTTATATATTGAAACAGTAAATGAACGCTAGAAAAAATTAATAACCGTGTCTGCCTTACTATTAGTTTCAGATTCATTACACTCGTCTGATTCTGAACGAACGATGATTGATGTTGATGAAATATTTCTTTCTAAAACACTTTAAATGGAAAACATAATAAAACATTCTAAAAACAGACTTCTCTTAAATAAAGCACTGTGTTCAGTTGAATAAAATGGTATCGGATCAACATCTATAGAATTAAAGATTTTTGGTATGATATTGTGCGGAAAAAAGAATGTGTAGTACTAGATTGTTTTGTAGTGAAAGAAGCATCAATCTCTTGATTTTCAATTGGCAAAAGAATAGATGATTGAGTGGCAATCATTTTCTTTGAATGAGCCTGTAAAAAATAAGAAAAAAATAGAATATCTACTAAAGTCGACTTGTTTTACACAGACTTCATTGGTGGTGAAATCAAGACCTTCTTCAGTGGTGTTCGGTTTATTTTCATTCGATGTTGTCATAGCAAGAAAAAAATCAGCTGTCACTTGTTTTAAATTTTTACCATTTTGAATATCTCGTACAAGCATAAATGGAATATTGTGAGCAACAGCTGCTAACGCAGAATCAACACCTTCTTCAATCTCATTCATACATCGTTTAAGGACATGCTCAAATTTAGTTGATGATTTAGCACCAAATCTTTTTTTAAAATCAATTTGATCACCTTTTAAATCCTTTCTAATTTGATCAGCATTGATATGATGCATATGCGCAATTAAATCGATAGGTAAAGATTCACCAAATTCATCCCACGCATCGAGCACAGCTGCAGCTCTATTTTGAATTCGTTGGTAGCGAGTAGGTAATTGTCCATTATGCTCGGCACCATTGACTGTACGAATATTAATAGGACTCATTCTAAATTATATAAAGAATTTCTAAATTTGATAAAATTAGTTAATGACAGTCAACAAACCATGAAACTCAAAAGTGAAACGAAAAGTATCAACAAATGTAAGCAACTCAGATCATCAATATTTGAGAGATATCAACATAGCTTTTTTGAGTAAGCTATAGTAGAGTAAATTTTGCAACTCGTTTTTTCAATCAATTAGATTACTTATAAAATTTGCTTTTATTAATGAATATCTTCATATTATATTGATAAATAAGCGGTGAAGAGAAATCAAACAATTCCACCGCTTTTGTTTCAAGGGAAACATATTCCTGTGAAGGAAACAATGCACGCTTGTTTTCCATATGCATTTTATATCAGACGCTTTTCATTTTCATACTAGTCATGATGGTTCACTTGCAGTTGATACTACTATTGTATCTGTCTTTTATATACTTTAATAATTATCAGTTACTGTCTCTTATCATAATTTGATCATCGTTCTCCTGGTGAATCAATGTTATCTATTGTCATAATCATCAATGACAGTTGTCTACTTTTCTTCAATCAAAATATTGAACTTTGTTTTCAAGTAGATTAATAGCATAATTTGATTTATTATTATATTGTATATTATCGATACTCATTGTTATAAATTTTATTATCAAATCATTTTTCATTTTAAATTTCTTTATCATAAAACTGTGCGCATCTACATATAATGTACAGAAAATAAAAGGGTGATACTCACACCTACCAGGTATTATACAATGATTCGAAATACTTGTGTTGTGGAATATATGTGTTGCTTGAGGTCTATTAGTGCAAAGCCAACACAAAGAAACCAACCACTGAATGAATAACTGAGTAGACAGCACGACGAAGATAGGAAACAGAAAGTGCAAAATGAATAGAAAAATTAGAAATCGAATAAAGTGCAAAAAAAAACAAAAAATGAACAAGATAAAAGAAAAAAGTAGAAAATGAATAAGGTAGAAAGAAAAAGGAGAAAACGAACAGAGTACAAAAAAAAGTAGAAAATGAACAATGGAGAAAGAAAAAAAAGAGAAAACGAACAGAGTACAAAAAAAGTAGAAAATGAACAAGGTAGAAAGAAAAAAAAGAGAAAACGAACAGAGTACAAAAAAAAGTAGAAAATGAACAAGGTAGAAAGAAAAAAAAAGAGAAAACGAACAAAGTACAGAAAAAGTAGAAAATGAGTAAGATAGAAAGAAAAAGATACTAATGAACAGGTGAGAAAGAAAAGAACACTTGTAAAAAATACAAAAAAGGTACGAATGAAGTATACAAAGCAGAAAGTACAGACGAAAATGTGCAAAAAAATACAAACGAAAAGGTTCAAAGAAAGTACAAAATGAAAAAGATGGAAAGAAAAAGTACAAATAGAGTAGATAGAAAGAAGATAGTAGAAAACGAACAAGATAGAAAGAAGAAAGTACAAATGAACCAGATCGCAAGAAAAAGAAGAAATGAAAGTGGTACAAAAAAGGTACAAACGAAAAGGATACAAATAAATTGTTGAATGAAATCGAATCGCAAGCAAGTTTGGAAATCTAAAAGAAAAATATCGAGTCTGATCGTAGATTATCTAGATAAAAATTTCATTCTTTGATCTAAAAGTAGATTATACAAATAATGAAAAAATTATTACATCTTAAGCTGTACTGTAACAATTAGAAGAAGTGTCATTTAAACCTATTTCAAAAAATTTTCTATTCGACGATCCATCGATAACAACTGGTGGAAAAAAAAA